CAGTGGGAACATACCCGTTGCATGCTGCTAACCGTTCATCAAAAGCCGCGCCCGTCAATAGCCAAGTATAGAACGATATACTGCCGCCTGGTTATCCATTTTTTTTTCATTTGGCTCCGCATTTTTTTGTATTTTTCATGTTTCGCTTTGTTGTGTCGTGCATGTTTTCATGATTTCCCCGTCACCATTCATTGAATGCACATCTGGGGCCTGACACGCTGACCTTGGGGCTATTTTTTCACCAATTTAGCTTATCAATGATCACCATTAGTCGCTGTTTCGATTGTGTTCCTTGTTACAAGTTGCATGTCATACAGTTGTCGAACGACGAGTTTTATTTTGAATCCTAAGACAAAATTGTAGGTAATGCGAGGCTGTTGTTCAGCCTCATATTGCATGAGGCTGAAACAGCCTATTATTGCCTGGATTTTAGAGCAGAGTCCGCCTTTCGAAAATCCAGATTCCATTTCAGGAAGCCATTCTGTGCCAAACTTCCTCGAAAGCCGCGAATTCCCACTAAACGTGAAACAAAAACGGCCTAAACCGTCCTACTCGTCAATCCAAAGCCCATTCATGCCTCTGGAGCCAGAATCGTGCCGAATCTCGGGAATTTACAAGAGTTTACAGTCTACTTACGTCTTTTCTTTACATTTTAATCTTAGGCGGAGTATGGAGGAATGAGTCTGTCCCACGGTCCTGAGTCCTCATCCCCGCGCATGTTCGGATAGGGAAATCGCTACGCTGGGGGCCTGCAGAGCAGAGCATGCCAAGGGGATGCCCCTCGTAGGTGAGCGTGCGTTTTGTCTCAAAGGTACGGTCCGCTACAGGTATAGAAGTTGTAAATATGGCATCGGCAGGCAGTGTGGCCCGCGACGAACAACCGTGTACCGGTTTTGCGGCAAAAAATTGTGAGGGACGCCATAGTGCAATATAGGTTCAGTGACACCTTTTCTCCAGTGACTCCGCCTTCAGGGCCCTCCCTGTAGTGAAAAACGAAGTTGCAGGACGAAAAAGCATGAAAATCGTCACTTGTACGGTCGTAGAGTTCTTATCGGGGAATCAGCTGTGCGGATGAGGGCGTAGTGTTGGAGATGGAGTTAATTGGGCACGTACAAACTGGGATTGAAATGGGGTTCTATCTAGGGCAGTTGGCATGTTTTTTCTGCTTTTTTCTTCACTATCGAATTACTCAGCACCTTGTCGTCTATATGCAAAAACCTAATCCACTACCTGTGATGGCGAATGATCGCGAACTTTGCCTTTATACTGAACGTGGCGGTGGCTGCGCTTTTGATGGGATGTTTTCATTTTGAGACGATTGTAGCCATGTCTTCGTCCAACACTGAACAGGATGACATTTTCCTCAAAGTGAATTATAGCACAAGTTACCCACTCTATGCCATGCACAAATGCTACGCCTACTCCGTCTCAGGGAAAGGAGGCACTTACGATGACGCAACTCTTACGGAGGGAGTGTTTCTGAATGCTCAATTCACGAACAATCATCACTATATTTATTGTGCAGTCTTTAAGAGGTGGTGTATAAGCTCTATATAAGCGAAAACGCCAAAACCCTTGTCAGTGTTCGCAGGAAAGCTGGGAAATTCATTCGAAAGACACCGTAAAATCTATGACAATATCACTGAATATCTAAAAGCTAAAGGACGCTGTCGAAATATAGCTGCTCAGATGGTTTTGATGCTTCACGTCACGACCGTTGACTATGACCACCATTCGCTCCCTAAAATATCT